CTATACCTGCGTCGGCCAGGCCCTCTTCAGCCCCAGACCCCATGCCAGCGATCAGGGGCCAATCTTTGTCCTCGACGGGCACGCGCAGGCCCTCCGCTTTAAACAGCCACCGCACAAACCTGGAGAGCCAGAAAGCGGACCACAAATCCTGTCAAAGGGGAGGGGGAGAGAAATGGGGGAGGGGCGGGATGGGGGCGCCAGGCAGGAGGGGGGCCCGGACATCTGCTGTCGTATATATCCAGATCCGAGAATCGGTGTCGCGTTATGTCATACGAGAACGAAGACGAAGACGACGACGACGACGACGACGACGACGACGACGACGACACGACGACGACGACGACGGTGCCGACGCTGACGACGCTGACGACGACGACGACGCTGACGCTGACGCTGACGACGACGACGACGACGACGACGACGACGTCGACGAAGACGGCGCCGACGCCACTTGCCTCCTCGGCAGGCCATCGACGACGACGACGACGACGACGACGACGACGACGACGACGACGACGACGAGGACGACGACGACGACGACGACGACGGGCGATGTCGTCGCCACGGCTGGATTCCCCCTTGAGATCGTGGTCAAAGAGGACACCGATGCCCAACCAGAGGGCCGCAATCGGGAGGCCCCGCGTGGGATGTTTTCGGTCCCCACGCCACCTGACTCGATTGTATGTGGCGCCGGCCCATAGCTGTATCTCGTGCTTTCGCAGGATGCTCTCGGCGTCCCTGAACGTGGGCTTCGCGGCGAACAACTCGGCGAGATCTACGCAAGCGTCCCGGAGCTTACCATTCTGCACGTCAGGCACCAATTTCTCGAATTCGTGCGCACCAGTGCGGCGACTAGCCGGGTTCTTGTAAGGATGATACGCAAAAGTCTCGCCAGGGGCTGAGATTGCGATACATTTCCGGTCTTGGCGGGGTACTAACTGAACATCGTGCTCCTGGCGATTTCCGACGACCTAGTAACCGTCCATGTCCGCCTCCATCGAAGACCACGCGCCCTTTGAGATCTCAGCTCTGTCTGCGGAGTCCGCGCGCTCTAAACGGGAAAATGCCTTCGACAAGTATCCAAGAAGTGAGCTCGCCGACCACCGCCAGTAGCACAGATAGACCACCGCTAAAAGCTCCAAGCGCACTGCAGTCGCGCCAGAGGCTGCGGCCCGAAGATACTCGCCGCTCGCTACGCCGACGCGAATGTCATGTCTGCGAAGCAAAGTGAGAATGAAACCGCCGGCGACGTACGCGCCGATTTTCTCTGTCGGCTTGCCCAAGATATCGCTCACCCTGGCAACTTTCCAATGCTGCCCTTTCAGAGGCGCGCGGTACTGCGCGCACTTCGAGTTCTTGCAGCTTCCATCATGGTCTCTGGCGCGCTGGTGGCACGTCTTGCATCTCAACACCATCGCGCCAGAGGCTGCGAGGCGCAGCCCCGCAACGCGCGCCCTGGCGCCCCCGCGCAGACCCCGTGCTCAACAAATGAACGCTTGAGCCCGCTTGAGCCCGCTTGAGCCCGCTTGAGCCCGCTTGAGCCCGCTCGGCCACGCGCGATCGCAGAGAGACGAACGTCTCTCTTGGGGCCCATTATGAATGGTGCTGTCTGCCTCTGGGCATGGCTGGTGCTGGCTCTGCCCAATATGTGCGGGTGTCTGGCTCCCCTTTGATGGTGGTCTGGTCTACTTTTCGGCGGGGTCTGGTCCAGTTTTTGGCGGGGCCTGGTCAACTTTTGGATGGTCTGCTCTACTTTCTGGCAAAGTCTGGTCTCATTTTTGGCAGGGCCTGGTTTACCTATGAGTGGTCTGGTCTACTTTTTGGCAGGGTCCGGTCTACTTTTTGGCAGGGTCGGGTTTACTTATGGGTGGCCTGGTCTACTTGTTGGCAGGGTCTGGTCTACTTCTTGGCAGGGTCTGGTTTACTTCCCAGAGGGTCGGGGGACGTATTTTTTACGCCCAGGGCGTAAAAATAAATATGTTGGATTGGGGTCGTAAAACGGGCGGGCGTCGGGGAAGCGGGGTGTAAAAGTATGTGCGGCACGATCTCGGAACATCCGCGGGCGAGGATAGATGGCCGGAAAAGATACACCCCCATCCCCCAACAAAGCCAGGAGGTTGGCACTTATATGTGTATATATGTGTATATATACATATATATAATGTATATATCAATACGTATATCAATACGTATATATATATATGTACACACATATGCGTATACATTCATGAATGTGTATATATAGATATATGTATATAAACACACGTTTTCACATGACAACAAACGCCGAACAACGCGGGAATGGCTACCCTCATAAATATTGGCCCTCTCGGCCCCCTGGCCCGATCGGCCCTCTGGCCCGCGGGCGCGCGCACGCGCGCGAGGCTCGTCCTCGCAGGCGATCTGGGGGGGAGGACGGAGGATTGGAAGGGGAGGAGAGGAGCGAAAGGGGCGGGCGAGGGGGGCGAGGAGGAGGGGGACGGGGGAGGGAGGAAGGGGGGGTGGAGGAGGATGGGGAGGAAAAGCTCTCACACGAACCACCGTTCTGAAAGGGCACGCCGAGCGCGGCGGAAGTATGCGGAGGGCGAGGGAGGGAGGGGATCGGGTGAGAAGGGAGGGGGAAGAGGAGGGAGGGGCAGGAAGGAGAGGGGGGAGGGGGGCGGAGAGGAGGAGAGGAGGGGAAGCCTTGGGGGTAGGGGCCCTTTTGTCGTTAGGGGTTCCGCGGCCTCGCCCTCCACCGCCGCCGCACGGGGGGGGGGTGGGCAGAAAAAAACAACGACTGCCCGCAGGAGGGCGAGGGAGGGGGAGCAGACGGAGGAGGAGAAGGAAGAGGATGGGACGTGATGTGTGCGTATGTTTTTTGGTCAAGGGTCCAAACAAGGCACTTCAAATACGATCGTGGGCGTCCCAGCACATGTACCACAGCTGCTGCGGCTGCAGCGGTTGGGGTTGGTTGCAGGAGGGAATGAGGTGAGGATGTGGTTTAATAATGTCGGAGATGTGTTGTTTTTGTTGCCTGGGGGTGGGGGGGGGAGATTTGGGGAGGGGTGGATCGAAACAGCATGGAAAAAACAGATCCCGCGACGAGGCTGGAGTGGCGGCCGTTGTCGTGTTCCTCCTCCTCCTCCTCCTCCTCCTCCTCCTCCTCCTCCTCCTCGTCCTCCTCCTCAGCCGCCTGGCGTTCTTCCCCATCCTCATCATCAACATCAGGCCTGCTACAATCTCCGACACCTCAGGGCGCGGGCTGGAATGCGATATTCGGCCGCGCGCGAGGGCGGCCGAACGGAAAAGCATGGAAAAACCAGATCCCGCGAGTTAAATCTAAACGATGCTGGAGATTAATTCATCCTCCTCCTCCTCCTCCTCCTCCTCCCCAGCAGCTTCTTCACGCGCCTCATCACCTTCATCATCCTCATTACCCTCATCACCCCCATCATCCTCATCATCCACATCATCCTCCCAGATATGACGAAGCAGCCGCTTCTCACCTTGCATCGCAATGCACAGGATATGACGAAACAGCCGTTCACCTCTGGCGTCCCATCGCAGTGCCCAGGATATGACGAAACAGCAGTTCATCTCCTGCGTCGCAGTGCCCAGGATATGTAGTAACAGCAGCGTTCACCTCTGGCGTTGCATCGCAGCGCCCAGGATATGACGTAGCAGCTGTTCCTCTCACCTGCGTCGCAGTGCCCAGGATATGACGTAACAGCCGTTCACCTCGAGCGTCGCAGTGCCCAGGATATGACGTAACAGCCGTTCACCTCGAGCGTTGCATCGCAGTGCCCAGGATATGACGAAACAGCACCTCCAGCGCAGTGCCCAGGATATGACGAAACGGTGGTTCACCTCTGGCATCGCAGTGCACAGGATATGACGAACCAGCCGTTCCTCTTCGCCTGCGTCGCAATGCCCAGGATCCACCTCTAGCGAGCCGAGTGCTGCTGTCGCGCAGCCATGGTCTGGTGGCCGAATCTTGGTCAACTGGCTACGGAGTCGGATCACAGTATGACCCAGGTCACCGAATTGCATGATCCAGGGTATATATTCCAGATGTCGTAAGAAAGGGCGGGGGGTCTCATTTCGGGGGGGGTCTCTTCCAGGCTATCTTGGAGGGCCTGGGGGGTCTGGGGACGATGCTGTGGAGGGTTCTCCCACGGGGGAGGTCTGAAATGGCTTGTCTTGGAGGGTCCAGACCCCCTCCCTTTTCTTACGAAATCTGGAGTAGGCCTCGTAGGGCCTAAGTCACTTAAGATCGCGAATCGTGGGCGAATATCTTCGCACCCTCGCGCTGTCATTATTGAGGCGGGTGCCTCTCCTGTCCAGGCCGCGACGCGCGATGCACGGTTATCGTCGCGCCATGTGGTTTGGCATCGCTCGGGCGTGTGCATTTTTTCTTGGCGAGAACCATCGAGGACCATCCTGGACCATCGAGCAAAACAACACGCGCGAAACCTAAACAAAAACACGGGAAACGGACGTCCGAGCGACGGCAAGGGGCACCCAGAGGACGGGGAGGAGAGGGGAACGAAGTCGACGCTAGTCGACGCTAAGTCGACGCCAACCGACGCTAAGTCGACGCCAATCGACGCTAAGTCGGCGCTATCTCATCGCCCCCCAGACGCCAATCGATGCTAGCCGACGCTGAAGACGGAATTACGAGGGCACACAGGGCTCCATGATTTGCTACCGAAGGCTGCCAGGGGAACACAGTCGGGGCGCTGACCTAAGGAACCCTAAATAAGGAACGAGGCCCCTATTTTCCATAAGTTGAACTTCGATTTCACATCGAAAGCCCAAGGAAAACCTAAGGCAAGCTGCGAAACGATCAAGGAACACTGAGCCCCTCCCCAGCGAAAAGGGTTCCTTCTCCAGGGCCCCGACTGTAACCCATCATCCTCGCTGGCATCCCTCATCATTTCTTCCCCCTGTTGCGTCGGCAACGCGCTGCTCTCATGCGCAGCGATCCCACGTGCACGGCGGCCCATGATGGGCCGCTCTCATACCTCATCGGACACGTCGACCACTGGCACCACCTTGATCTCCTTCGCGAAGGTAACGATGTCGGCAATCGCCGCGCACATGGTCGGCGTGTAGTGCTTCAAGGGCTCCTTGGAACCCGAACCTGGGCAGCACGAATCCGCCTCTCGCTCGAAGTCCCTCCCAATTCCCCGACAGCTTGCACGTTCCTCCGCTTCCTCAGCCCGATCTCCAGAATTGCCGATTCAGCGCGGTTACTCATTATTATCCGTGCCACCTTTGACCCAGTGGCCAGCAACCTTTGTCATGGTAGACTCAGCCTCCTCGCCCTCGAATTGAGAATCCTTCACCTGGAGAGCGGAAGCGAGCTAATAACAGGAGAGTCGGAGGGATAGCGGAGGAGAAAGTATAGAGACGGGGATCGTTGTTAGGGGGGAGGGGGGGCTACGTTCGCATCCGATATCGCCTGGCTACGCACCATCATATATCGCTGGTACTCTCTGATAAAGTACGCCTTCTGCCAGAGGCTAGCGTGTTTGTGGTTTTGCGTGGTGAACCTCGGATAGTGGTAAGTGGACACGGCCAAGGGTTTCGGCTTCAGCGGCGCCTCTCGAATCCAAACGTTGCCCGACAGGGCTTGACCTGAACACTGTTTTGCTGGACTTCGGCTGTGTTTTGTTTTTCGTTTTGGCAGGGGGGCACAGGGCAACAGGCAGAGCAAAACGAACGACAAAACGAACCCACAACGAAAAACAGTGTTTAGGTCCAGCCCTGTTGCCCGATGTCTGCTGCTTCTGCTTCTCCTCCTGCTCCTCCTCTTCATCTCTCCTCCTCCTCCGCCGCTTGTGCGCCTTCGGCTTCTGGAAGTAGATCTTCACCAGCTCGTGGATCTCTGGAGACGTCGTCAGTCGCGTAGGCAACGTCCGCGGGATCTCCTCACCTGGAGCACGCGACTGCAACGCTAACAGATGTGGGAGGCGATGGAGGGGAGAGGGCGGGTTACCGGAGGCGGGATGGGATGGAGGGGAGAGGGGGCGGGAGGGGAGGGAGGGGAGAAGGGGCAGCAGGGGATGGGCACGGGGTCGGCCACGGGGATCCGCAGCTAGGCCGAAACAAAAGCTGGACACGATCGAGGGACCCCTCGAAACTCAATTCCACTGCTGCGGTCAAGCATGACGACCTATAAGAATCGAATCGCCTCCGAGCCAGCCGTAGACGTCCATCAACTTGAGGTGTTTGCGCAACTTCACCTGGGCTTGAGTGAACCCGCCGTTGAATGTGAATCGATATCACACGCCCCTTCGTCGAAGGCCAAGGGCCCAGTGGCGATGCCGAAAGCGATCCACATCCCAAGGCGTGGAGGGGGCGGGGGGGTGGGGGGGCAAACGGCGAAGGTTAACTCAATCGCGCCGCCTGCACAGAGGCTCGACCGTAAGAAACCTTCCACCAGAAACCCACCCTTGAGACCCCAGGACGTCAATTCGCGTGGGAGCGCCACGCTTCCCATAGCAAATCCGTCGGTACCCAAGAAATCCAGGGCACCCTGCAGGCAAGCAGGGTGTTTCTTGGCACGGTTCTCCTGTCGGATCTGGGCTGTCGGATTTGGGAGTATCTTTCCGACCTTCCGATACTACCCATCACATCCTCGTCATCTTACGGCTTGTCACCTTCGGTTATGACAGCGTTGATCTTCGCCGCCTTCATCATCAATCGTATCCTCCTCCTCCTGCTCCTGTTCCTCCTCCTTCTCCCCATCTCCTGTCACGATCCATGGAACCACAGGACGGATGGGCGGGGCCCCCCCGATTGTGTTGCGGGGGGGGGATGGTGGAATTTTACCAGGACCGGGCCCGGGGACCGGGGACCGGGGACCGGGGACCGGGGACCGGCCGGGGACCGGGGACCGGGGACCGGGGACCGGGGACCGGGGACCGGGGACCGGGGACCGGGGACCGGGGACCGGGGACCGGGGACCGGGGACCGGAGGACCGGGGACCGGGGACCGGGGACCGGGGACCGGGGACCGGGGACCGGGGACCGGGGACCGGGGACCGGGGGCCGGGGACCGGAGGACCGGGGACCGGGGACCGGGGACCGGGGACCGGGGACCGGGGACAGGGGACCGGGGGCCCGAGACCGGGGACCGGGGACCGGGGGCCGGGGACCGGGGACCGGGCACCGGAGACCGGGGGACCCGACCGGGGACCGGGGACCGGCGGCCGGAGACCGGAGGACCGGGGACCGGGGACCGGGGACCGGGGACCAGGGACCGGGGACCGGGGCAGGAAGACGGATCAGACCGGACGACCAAGGACCAGGGACCATGGGACCGGGGGGATCGGGGACCGGGGACCGGGGCCCGAGCACGGAGGACGCGGAGGACGGAAGAGGACCGGGGACCGGGGACCGGGGACCGGGCACCAAGGACCAAAGACCGAGGGCCAGAGGCCGCGGAGACCGGAGGACCGGGGACCAGAGACCGGGGACCGAGGACCGGGGCCCGGGTACCGGAGCCCGGAGACCGAGGACGGAGGACGCGGAGGACGGAAGAGGACCGGGGACCGGGGCCCGGGGACCGGAGGGCGGAGGACCATGACCGAGGGCTGCGGACCGGGGCCCGGGGACCCGAGGGACCGGACCGGAGGGACATACCGAAAACGGAGCGCCGAAGACCGAGGACCAGACCAAGGACCGACGACAGAACACGGGACCGGGGACCGGGGACCGGACCGGGGGGGGGGAGCCCAGGGTCCCTGACGCCCGCGTAACTACACTGAGCAAACGAGAGAGGACAGCGGAGGAGGGGGAGCGCAGGAGAATACTGAGGTTTTCTCATCCCGTGGTGCATGAAAGCCCATCCAGCCAGACGCGCGCGACTCGTCGAAAACTTGAAGGATGGCAGCTGGGCATGAGACTCGCAGGAACTGGGTAGACAGGGGGAATTCTAGGGGAGGCTCGGAAGACCTGCCCGCCAGCTCGCACTGCCACACGCTGCAGAAGCCATCTGCGCACCGCGGTGCTGTCCAGCGCGCGCGCGGCAATAACTGCAAAAAATCCCGCGCTGAAGCAGCCATCTGCGCCCCTTGCGCTGTCCGGCGCGCGCGAGCGAAAGCAATAATCTGGCGTCGCAATACATGCTGGAGACGGGGGGGGAGGAGGCTCGGAGGATATTGGGGTCAGCGTCCAGTGGCGTCTGAGACCTGCTGGCCCGCTCGCACTGCAACGCGCTGCAGCAGCCTTCTGCGCCCCTCGGCGCTGTCCAGCGCGCGCGCGCGCCAATCAGTGCAAAATCAGGCATCGTAGTGGGCGAAGGGGGAGAAAAGAACATCTTGCGGGCGAAAAACCCGCCAGCGACATCGCACGGTCACGCGCTGCGACAGCCATCTGCGCCCCTTGCGCTGTCCGGCGCGCGCGTGCCAGGCAGTGCAAGAGTCGGCGTCGCAGCAACTGGGTAGACAGGGAAGGGAAGAGGGAGGCTCGGAAAGAGTTTAGCGCCTGGCGGCGTCTGAGACCTGCCCGCCAGCTCGCGCCGCCACGCGCCAGCCCTGGCGCTCCCTCGCGCGCGCGCGTGCCAGTGAGTGTAAAATGTCCCGCGCTGCAACGGCCACCTGCGCCCCTTGCGCTGTCCGGCGCGCGCGCGCGCGCGAGCCAAAGCAAAACTCTGGCGTCGCAATGCATTTGGGAGACGGGGGGGAGGAGGCTCGGACGATATTGGGATCAGCGTCTGGTGAGGCTTGAGACCTGCCCGGCAGCTCGCATTGCACCGCGCTGCTGCAGCCTTCTGCGCTCCTAGGCGCTGTCCAGCGCGCTCGCGCCAGTCGGTGCAAAGTCAAGCGCAGGGAGAGGGAAGGACATCTTGCGGCGCAAGAGCCCGCCAGCGACATCACACGGCCACGCGCTGCAAAAGCCATCTGCGCCCCTTGCGCTGTCCGGCGCGCGCGTGCCAGCCAGTGCAAAAAAGTCGGCGCCGCAGTAACTGGGTAGACAGGGGGAAGGATGAAGGAGGCTCGGTGAGAGTTGAGAATCCGGTGGCGCTTGAGACCACGCGAGGCCACAGATGGGCTCGTGGGCGCCCCCATGAGCGCGGGCGGGCGGGGTCGATATTTCCCCGACCAAGTTGCCATCGCACTACGAATCCGCGCAAAGGAGCAGGAAGATGATGTGAGAAAGGTAGGGCGGAGGATCTCTCCCGCGGGCGGCGGGCCCTCCAGCCGAGGCAGAAATCTTCAACGGAGCGGAAGCAATAGCACGAATGGCGGAAGCACGAGCTACCATGCACCAGCATTTGGCTGGTAGTAGGTCCACCACCGCGCTTGCAGCGATTGGGGCGCGTGTGTGTGCGTGTGTGTGCGAGTGTCTGCGTGTGCGCGTGCGTGTATTGACGTTGTCGCACGCAGCGTCGCTCGTTTTGAAAGATTCTTGGCGCGGCTCAAGGGGAAAGTGCGCGTGTGTTGGTGTGTGCGTGCGCGTGTGCGTGTGCGTATAGGTGGGTGTGTAAGTGCGCGCATGAGTGTGCGCGTGCGCGCGTGCGCGCGTAGCACTTCACGCTGCGGCACACAGCGTCTTACGCGTCGGAGGACCTCGCAGGCCGCTCGACGCCACACAGTGTGTGTATGTGTATGCCATGCGCGCGTGTGCGTGACCGCGCGTGCGTGGGCGCGTGCGTGCGCGCGGGCGCGTGCATGCGCGCGCGCGCATGCGCGCGCGTGCCCAAAGAAGGCCCATGATGTTCCAAAGAAGCCGAAAGGCCCCGAGAAAGCACCCGAGAAGCATCGAGGCGGCCCCCCCCCCCCCTTGGGCGCCCGCCCCGGCGCGCGACGGCGGAGACGCGCGGCAGCGCGAGCGGGTAACAGTAGCGCGCGCGAATCGGAAGCCGCGGCGCAGCACCCGCGACCCTACATCAGCACTTGGCTGGCACCGAGAGAAGCTGGAGCGAGGCGAAGGCGCGGCGCGGGCCATCCCTCCTGGTCCAAGTGGGCGCGCGAGCGCGCGCGGCCCGGCGGGTTGGCGGCTAGTACGGGCGAGAGCGCGCCCCCTGAGCCGACGATGCCGCGGCCCTCCTTCCCTGATTCTTCAGGAACTGCACCCGCGCCTCCGACACCTCGTGGAGCGTAACCCCCGCGCACTTCATGAACTGGGCGTGCATTTTGACCTGCCCCTCGACCTCCTCGGGAAAATCCCGAAATGCCACGACGTCGTTGACGAAAGTGCAGATCCTTGGGAAATCCGCGGCCAATGCGAGCATCAAAGAGCGGAGCTCGGCCGTCGGCACGCACCATCGGTTCTTGGTCTTCTTGACCGTGCCCCCGCGGCTGGCGGCGCCGCCGCGCGGCGCGGGCGGCGCGGGCGGGTCGGGCAAATGGACGCGCAGGCGCTCCGCTATCTGGGGCACGGTGAGAGAGTCGGCACCCAGCAGGAACAAGCGCTGCACGTAGTGCCTGTCGGTGATGATGGTCTTGCCGTCCTCGTCCGGGCGAATCAACATGGCACCGTTCTCTCCCATGCCCACCTTGAAGAACGCCTCCATGGGCTCCAGGTCCGCCAGGTCCATCCACTGGGAGACCGCAGGCGCCCCCTCGGCCCGGCCGGGGGGCGCCGCGCTCGCCGCGGCCGGCAGCGCAACCGCCGCGGCCTGGCCGGCGGCGGCGGGAGGCGCAAGCGAGCCGATGTCGGCCTGGTCCGAGGGCACGGCGGTCGGAGCGGCCTCCTCCGCCGCGGCGTGGCCAGCGGCGTCCCCCGGCGCCGCCGCTTCTGCCTCGGGCGATAGCTCCGCGGGCGCCTCCGCGGCACCGCCGCCAGCAGCCCCCGCGGCGTCCGCAATTTCCGCGGCCGCGGCCGGACTCCCCCCGACGCCGCCCTCGCCGCCTGCCTGCGACAAGTAAGCGGGCGCGAAACGGCGGCGGTCGTAATCCCCGCGAACGGGGCGTCGCACGGCACCCGCGGCGTCGCGCTGGTCGTCCGGCGGGCCGACCAGGTCAGCGGTCTGGCGCGCGAGCTTCTTGATCTGCAGACTGATCTGCACGATGCGCGTGCTCAAGTCCACATCGTCCGTGGTGATGGCGAACGTCGCTGGATCGGGGTCTGCGTCGGCGGCTGCCATGCGCAAGATGCGCAGAAGGCCTGCCCAGACCCCAATCTGGCCAGCCGCCGCCCCGTGCTGGGCCTCGCCAGGACCATCCTCCCCGCGGGACGCGCTGGCGAGGAGGCTCTGCTCGAGCTGCGCTCCGAGGAGGTGTTCGCGCGCCGTCGGCTCGAACGGGATCGTAAAGTGCGGCCTGGTCTTGAAGAAGCCGATGACGCGCCGGACCCCAGGAACCAGCGCCGTGTACGGCGATGGCAACATCCACCTCGCAGAAATCCGATACTGCGTCTGCAGAGTGCCAGCGTCGTACCGATACCGCAGGCGCACCTCCACGCCGTCCGGCAGGTTGATGCTGTACCCCTGCTCGGGCCCCACGAACGACGCGGCGAGCTGCGTCCCGGAGCCCGGGACCGCGGGGGGGGCCGCGCCCTCGGCCTCGTCCAGGGGCCCAGCCTCCAAGTCCCGCTCGGCTTCGTCGGGCTCCTGGTAGTAGTGGCTCCAGCCGAAGCTGTCCGCCAATCTTGCCGTCAATGGCAACCACGTCCAGCGGGGGTAAGCGACCCCGTTCTCATCTCGCGGCATCTCGAAGTCAGCGGGGAGGGGCTCGTGGCGCTTGGCGGCCGGGCCGGCGCAGTAAATGCTCCGCTCTTTCGTGGCCGCCACGTGGTTGCCGACGTGCCCTCTCTCCACGGCCATCAACATTTTCCAATGCCAATTGCCGATGATGGCCACGTTGACGGCAGGGGACCCAACGCTGCCATACGACCCACTGGTCCTCGTGTCACGCTGAAGCTTGCCCGTGCCAATGAGGGTGTTCAGCGTCGAAGCGTGTTGGGACGGCGCGGTGCCCCTGGCAGCCCCGCCGCGGGCGTCGGTGGCGGCGAGGCCGAGCTGGCCAAGGAAGCTGTAGGCCTCGTCCAGGTTCACCATCGTGCTGTACCAGGCGCGGGGCGCCCAACCTGAGAGTACATCAAGTTCCTTGACTTCCTGCGGGGCCGCTGACACATCGACACCCGCGACCAACGCAAGGCCCCGGGCGCGCCGGAAGCTCGCTCTGGCCGTGGGGGCCAACCCGTAAAACGCGCGGCTGAATCTCCGCTTCGGCCGAGTGGCCCAAGTAGAAAATCAGACAACGCAGCGAATCACTATCGGGCGCGAGGGGTCGGGAAGCTCTAGGGGGGCACCGGCGAGCACTGGGGTTCCTCGCCCATCCGACGTTCCAGCCACGGCAATCCTGGATCTGATCCCAGTCCCCCGAGCACCGGGCGAAGAGCTCCGTGGGGGTGAAATCCTGCATCCCGATCGTTTTCACCGTGAGCTTCGTCGGCTTCGCGTCCTCCCACGCGCGCTGGGGAACGCCCGCGGGCGGCGCCGCGGAATCGAGGCGCTCCTGCACCACCGCTGCAATCTCATCGTCGGCAGCAGCAATCATGGCCGCGACCGCCGCGGTGATGCGGCTCTTCCCCTGCTGCGCGTCGCCCCCGTACAGCACCATGGCGGAGAGCGGCGTCGGATCAGCGCTCCTGGGGGGGGGGGCGCAGACGCGCGAGCAAGGGCGCAGGAGTGGAGGGCGAGTAGTGGCCATGCCAGGAGATGGGGGGGAAGATGAAATCCAGCCGGGAACGCGGGGTTGAAGACGCGGCCCGGGGGCCACGCGCCCGGCGGCGCCCGGGGCTTACTTGAGCCCCTCTGAGGACTCTTCACCGCGGGCACGCGTGCCAGTCTGAATACATGCGTGGATGCCCCTGTTGCGCCCGCATGGACCACGGGGCCAATTCTGGGTGGGGATGGAACCAAATCGAAACGATAATGATATTCATGATGTCAGGGACCTTGCGATGCGCACTTGCTTTCCCAGTATGACAAGGATCACTTAATGCTGCATTAGAAATGGCGGTGTGAATACGTTTAAGAATACTTGAAGCAGTAGCAGTAGCAGTCGCAGTATCAGTAGCCGTAGCCGTAGCACTAGCAGCATCAGTAGTAGTAGTAGTAGTAGTAGTAGTCCTAAAAGTAGTAGTAGTAATAGTAGTAGTAGTAGTAGTAGTAGTAGTAGTAGTAGTAGTAGTGGTGTAGGAGTAGTAGTAGTAGTAGAAGTAGTAGTAGTAGTAGTAGTAGTAGCAGTAGTAGTAGTAGTAGTAGTAGTGCTAGCAGTATTAGTGTCAGTACCATTAGTAGTAGTAGTGGTGAAAACAGTCGTCGTGGTAGTAGGAATCGTCGCCGTAATAATAATAGTAGTAGCGGTAGTAATAGTCGTAGTAGTAGAAGTAATCGCAGTAGTAGCACTTAGAGCCCTGCGAGTCCAGAGCTGGATGTTAGCGCCATTGTTGACGCCAGCCATCGCGGCCGCCGTGAGGGCGAGCACGGGCAGAGCGCCCTGGCCGGTGGCCACCTCGAGCGGGCGCACCAACTTCTGCAGCTCCGCGGGCAAGTGCTCGCTCGCCGAGAAATGCACGTCAACGTAATCGTTCACGGCGTCTGCCATGGCCTGGATCTCTGCGGCCGAAATTTCGGGCGCCCGGCTAGCAGGGGCCATGCCCCGCAGGAAAGCGTCGAGGAAGCAGCGCCCTCGGCGCGCGGATCTTGAGGGCCGAAGCAGCTATGGGCGGCGATGACGATCGGTGCGACGGGCGCCGACGGCGCGGGCGGTCGCCGGCGGAGCCCCCGCGTCGCCGTCGATGATAGGGCGGCGCGCGCAGACGGCCCAGTCAGGGGTCAGGGGGCCGAAGGGCCGGGCGATCATCGCGACGATGGCGACGGCGACAGCCGCGATGGCGACTGTGACAAAGAATGCCAAGATGACGACTAGAACTAGAGCGGAGCGGCGCGCGGTGCCGGGTTGAGAGGGGGGGGTAGCGGGGAGCCATGGAACGAAATGGAAGCGAACGGATGGGGGGGGGTAGGCGAGCGCGGGGGGGCGCGGGGGCTGGGCGCACGAACGGGGAGGCATGCGCGACGGACGGTCGGCGAGACGATTGCAGCGGCGGCAGCAACGGCAATGGCGATGGCGACGACGGTTGCGACGACGACCCCGTCGAGGAGCTGTCTTGTCACTCGCTGGCAGCACGCGGGCAGTGCAAGGCAGAATATCCCAGGAAGGGCAGCGCGAACCTCGCGCGCTGCGAGCGGCCAACCGCAGCTATGCAGGCGCCCTTAAACGGGCCGCGCCGCCGGGGGCGGCCGCCGGGCGATGACGCCGGGTCGCCGACAGAGCGCGTCCAGACGCGCGTTTACATCGCTGCCGCGGAAGCGCGGAAAGCCCTGATTCTGCTTGACGGGCTGCGCGCCCAGAGCCTCCTCCAGCGCGGGCCACGTCAAATTCAAGGGGCGGAGATCGAAGACAGCGCTCATGCGCAGGACGTCGAACGAGAGAGCTGGGGCGAGAAACGCGGTCAGCTCGTCTCGAAGGCGCGCCGGAACCGCGCGCACCAGGCGCTGCGCGTCATCGGCATTGCAGCCGCGCTCCGCACGCCCCGCGCAGACCGCGACTCCGGCGGCGGTATCCGTGCCGAAGATGACCCGGGCCCCAGGGCATGCGAATGCCATTGGGTTCGCAGGGCGCCCTTTGTAAAACGCCTGGCATTCAAAGAATTTGTCACCGTCAGCGGCGGCAGCCGCCCACACCGGCCTGAGTTTGCGACGCACTATGGGCGGGTGTGTCGCCTCGGGGGCCGCGCCCGCGGCCGCCGGCGCCGCGCCCGGGGCCGCGCCCGCGGCCGGCGCGCCCGCGGCGGGAATCCCCGCGGGCACCAGGCGGGGTGCAGGCGCGCGGTCTTGCCGGGCCGCTTTCCGGGCCGCCCTGGCAGCCCCGCGCGCTGCTTCCCGGGCGCGCAACTCATTGTGGACGTCCACGCATTCGCCCACGATGAAATCACAGACCCAGCGCCTCATGTGGTGGACGGTGTGGGCCAAGGGCGAGAGCTGCGCGTTGACAGACTCGCATATCGGCGTTGGGAAGTCACCCAGGGCGGCAGCATTCGCGGGCACGTCTGGGAAGCACTCCGCCCTGCACGTGGCGTCGACGTGCCCTTTGCTGTGCGGCCGGTCGACGATGTACCGGAAGTGCCCAAGACGAGCGGCCAAGCTGCCGGGCGGCGCGCCCTCCGCCCTGCCCTTGGCGAACAAGCGCACATGGCACGCGTCGTCGTGCACGAGCGTCTTGAGCTCTGGAACAGCAGTGGCCACGTCGGCCAAAAAGCAGTAGCGCTGGGACAGCGTCTCAGCAGTGATCACCTCTTCAAGAGCACCGACCACGCCACTCTCTGAGACTGCGGCTAGGAACCCTGCCGACCGACTTGCCGTGCGGATGGCCGAGACGGACTCCTTGTGCGTCTTGCAGGAGCACTTGGCCTTGGCGTGCCCAGAAGCCCAGTCGCCCAGGACCAGGCGCGGTTGCCGCCGGAGAAAGTCCCTGCGCTCTTGACGCTGGCGCTTGCGCTCTTGGATGACCTGCTCGGCGTTCCGGGCGAAATACGCCTGCACGGTCGAATCGGGGACGGTGCAAGCTGGTTGCCAGTTTCCGAAGCCGGCCAGGCGCACTTCGACGTCAAGAAATGCACCAGTGGACAGGGGCGCCCTCACGCGGTGTGCTTCAATGTCGCCGGCGAGGGCAGGGCGGTCGGCGAGCTCCTGGTGGCGGCGGCAGAGCACCCCCTTCTGCAGAGGCGACTCAGGGCAACCACGCACCAAGTGCAAGTCTAGGGCTTCGTGGCACACGGCCTCGGCGCACGGCGCGCCGCACGAACGCCGGTGCAGCTTCGCGTTGCCGTCAACGCAGACGATGTCCAGCCTATCTCCACTGGCCCGCCACGCGCAGAGTCGGCGCTCCTTCATGAGAGGGCGGTACCAGGAAGCGCAGCTCTGCAGAAGGTCCTCCAAGGGCAACTCCAACACAGAAGCCGCCAGGGCAACGCGCGCGCCCTCGCACGCTGAAGATCGCTGCCACAACTGGTACCGCACCCAAGCGGACTCCAAGGATTGCTCCAACGTCTCCGTGGCGACTTCGGGTTCCAACGCCCGCAGGATCTGGGCTTCTCCAAGGAAGGACGCCCTGTGCGTGCACAGGCGGCAGGCCCACCGCTGCGCCCACTGAGCATGCACGCCGAAGGACTTGTTCACCATGAAGATCTCTGACACTGGACAACCAACATCAAGCTTCTTCACGAAGCCGCCTTGTCCGTGCCCAGCAGGGGACTCAATGTGCCCGCGCCAGTACTTGTGCACGCGCCCTTCGTCGCAACCGTTCTCGCAATGCTTGGCGCCGTGTCGCATTGCGAAGCACCGCGGCTCCGCCACGACCAAGCATTTCACTGGACGCCTTTGTGGTAGTGGAACCAAAGGCCCCAAACAGAGAGGGCAACATGTCCGGGTCGTCGTGAGCTCTGGCAAGAGCGCCGCCCCAGCGCCTGCAGTACCCGAGTCCCCGCTCGATGCGGCTGGCGCGGCAGGGCCGCGCGCGGCGTCGTCAGAGCTGGCGTTTGCCCCCGCAGCCCGCGGGCCCAGTCCTGGGCGCGCAGCAGCAAAGCAGTGCCGCGAAGGCGCAACCGCAGCGCCACTGGCGCCCGACACCACGCAGGATGCGGCCGCCGCGGCGGAGCCACGCGCGGCGTCGTCTGAGCTGACGGGCGCCCGCAGAGCCGGCGGACCCAGCCCTGAGCGCGAGGCCGCGGGGCCCGCCCTCCAAAGCGGCCGCGCCGGCGGCGGAGGAGCACTCGCGGCTGGCTGGCGGTGCGCCCGCGGGCCCACTGGTCGCCACAACGGTCGCACTGTCTCCCCGGCGGCGTCCGCGGCGCAGCGGCCACTTTGCTCGCGACCACCTATTGGCCCAGGCCGCGCTGCAAGAGGTTGCTGCGCCATGGGGCGAAGCGGTGGAGAAGCGGAAACCGAAGGCTGGCGCGAAGACCATAACGGCCGCACGGGCAGCATGCACGACAGCGAAGTGAGCCCCCGCCAGACGCTAGCGAAAGCTCGAGCCCAAATGCTTGCGCAGACAACAGTTGAAGAAAAAGAGACGGAGCAAGGTGGCGAAGGGGACGGGTCCACGGAGGGCGGGGCCCGTTCCCTGCTTTTCGTGCCCACATCCTCCTCTTCCCTCTACACGTCCTCAACATGAACACTACTCTCGTTGGCTGCCTGCTTGGCTGCCTGTTGGCTGCCTCTTCGGTTGCCTGGTTGGCTGCCTCGTCGGCTGCCTCGTTGGCTGCCTGGTCGGCTGCCTCGTCGGCTGCCCCGTTGGCTTCCGGGTGGGGTGCCTCGTTGGCTGCCTCGTCGGCTGTCTCGTTGGCTGCCTTGCGGGCTACCTCGTTGGCTGCCTCGCTGGCTGAGGGGTGGGGGTCGGGACCTCTGGGTGTGGACACGGCTAATGGTGCAACGCAAGGTCGACTCCGAGCGTGCCGCGGTATGCAGGGCGGGAGTTGAACGCCTGAGACCCCCTTAGACCCCTTCGTCAATGTTGACACGGCCAATGGACAGTGCTCTGGTGCCCTCCCGCCGTCAGACTGAGCACTGCAAGGAATGGACGCCGTGGAGCCCTCCAGCAGAGACCCCTTCAACCCTCCTCTTCAATGTTGCTGAGATGCACCGTCCTTCGAGGGGGTGCTCAACGCCAATATGAAAGAGGGGGGTCCGGGGGCGAGGGCCACGCACACCCACCCGAGACCACGCGGCCCCCTGGGTGGCTGCGAACGGCGCACCTGTCGCCACTTTCGTGGGGTCCTCGGAGGTCCAGCGGGGTGGAAGGCCAAGCACACCTTGCCGAGACCTCGCGGCTCCCTGGGCGGCTGCGCCGCCGCCGCCGCCCCCGTTGCCGCCGCCGCCGCCGCCGCCGCCGCCGCCGCCGCCGCCGCCGCCGCCGCCGCCGCCGTCGTCGTCGTCGTCGTCGTCGTCGTCGTCGTCGTCGTCGTCGTCGTCGTCGTCGTCGTCGTCGTCGTCGTCGTCGTCGTCGTCGTGTCGGTCGTCGTTCGTCCGTCGTTCGTCGTTCGTCGGTCGTTCGTCGTTCGTCGTTCGTCGCTCGTTGGTCGTCGTCGTCGTCGTCGTCGTCGTCGTCGTCGTCGTCCGCTGCCGTCCATTCGTCGTTGCGTCGTCGAGTCGTCATCGTCGGTCGCCGTCGCCCCACCCCCATCACCCGCTCCCAGGCGTCGCCGGGCATGTCGTCGAAAAAGGGAGGAAGAGAGAGAGAGAGAGAGAGAGAGAGAGAGAGAGAGAGAGAGAGAGAGAGAGAGAGAGAGAGAGAGAGAGAGAGAGAGAGAAAAAAAAAAAGCTTGCGGCTGGAAATCACATGCCGCATGATGTGCGGCAGGGTGCACACACGAACGTGCCGCGCACGCGATGTGTGGTGATGGTGATGATGACGATCGATTGGTACATGTGGTTCGATTTTAGTTTCCACGTAAGATAGGTACGGCACGGCCCCGGTCGGCATGGCCTCGGCTGCCTTTTGCAGCGAAAGGCGGTTCCGGGTTCCACGCTTCCTCCTCCTCCTCCTCCTCCTCCCCCTCCTACTACTACTCCTACTCCTATTCATCCTCCTCCTCCTCCTCCCCGTCTTCCCTCTCCCACCTCCTCCTAAGATCATGGCGACGCGAGAAATCGCAACCGCCGGTTTTTCAACTTGGTCGGCCTCTGGAAGCCGCTCCCTGGCCCCGGGGCCGCCGAGATACGGCTCAGGACGCAAAGCCGGCCCCATGGAGGGACAGCCAAGGAGAGACCGGGCTAGAAGGTTCTTTTGCGCACCGAGCCGGCAGCAGCCTGGGAAAATAGTTTACTGGATACTGGACGCGAGACAAACCGCGGCGGTCACTGCTCTGTCCTTAGAGAGCCACATCCCTATTATATAAATGCTGGAATGCTGGAGAAGGAGGGCGGGAGAGAGGGAGGGAGGGAGGAAGGGGGGGAGGGAGAAAGGGAGGGAGGGAAGGAGGGAAGGAGGAGAGAACAGGGCCCGAGATAAAAAATTGGTCCTGCCCGCACCAGGGCGGTGCGAAAACCGGATCCAAGAGGGCCTCGCCCCCCCCGCCTCTCCGATGGCCCCCCGTGAGGCCATCGCTTACGGGGTGGGTGTCACGTTGCGCGCTGTCCAGACCCACTCGTCGTCCTCGCCCGCAAACTTGGCCTTCTGCTTGCGGAGCTCGCGCGTGAAGCAGACCACCGCCCTCCTCTCGGCATCGCGCTGCTGTTTAATGTACTGATCCAGCGCCGCCTTCTCCCGCATCTCCACGAGGCCGGTCAGAGTGACCCACTCGAGATTGCCCTGGCGGAACCCCTGCGCGAAGCCGCCGGCGGTGGCAGAGGACTGCGGCGAGTACCGCAGGAGGACCTGGCGGGCGGGCGGAGAACACGCAATGCGAAGCCCAGGGCAGCGCCCGCACGAAGTGGCCTACAGTTGGCTCCGGGCATTCAGAATGTGGCCCGGGAGTTGAGTTCTGGGAACTCGAAGAGCACGAAGTGGCCTGCAGTTGGCTCCGGGCATTCAAAATGTGGCCCGGGAATGGAGTTCTGGGAACTAGAAGAGCACGAAGTGGCCTACAGTTGGCCCCGGGCATTCAAAATGTGGCCCGGGAATGGAGTTCTGGGAACTCGAAGAGCACGAAGTGGCCTAGAGTTTGTAGCTCCGGGCATTCAAAATGTGGCCCGGGAGCGGAATTCTGGGACCTCGAAGACCACAAAGTGTGTAACTGTATGTTTGAAAGGAGCTCTCGCGGCACCCGTCCGGGTCCTGCCCAGACCCCCCTGGGGAGTCATGGTGATCTCTTTTGACCCCATTAGAAACCAACCAGTCTTCGCTGTTAGGTAAAAGCGCGGACGGCGAAACGTGCACGTGACCCGAAATCGAACGCGCGGCGCTAACATCGGCAACATCGGTTTGCGAGCTTCCGAAAATACATGAACTAAGCTTCATGGAAGCAGCAAGTTGCGTGCCTGGATTGGGGGAAACATGATGAGCTACCTTGGGAGCCCCGCAGAAGCTCTCACAATTCAATTCCAGCGCCCTAGGATCCAAAAGGCATGGCGCGCTCGTTTTCACGGCCCTTCCGAGGATGGTGAAACGCCGCAATGCATTCACGACTACACGTGATCTACGTGACATGACCCGCACGGAAACAAATTGCGAGCGAAGGCGGCACAAATTGTAACCCCGAAGCCAGCTGTAACTGGACGCATCGAACCACAAAAACGTCATGACACATGCTCTTTAATCAATCGGAGCGGACCGTGCCCAGCTGCTTCTTGTCCTTATTGAAGAAACTGTCCGTGGAGAGGAGGAGTCCGAAGAGGAGCTTCGGGAGGGCCTTGTCTGCTTGCTTGGCGGCGCAGTCCTGCTCGTCGCCGCCCGGGTCGCCGCCGTCGGGCGGCCCGCCCGGCCCGCCCGGCGGGCCGCTGGGCGCCTGCGCTTGGAGGAAAGGCTGCGCGGCGTTTGCCGGAGCGGCTGGTGGAGCGGCCGGCGCCGCCGCGGGCGTCGCCGCCGTCGCCTGCGGCGCAGGAAGAGCGAGCCGGGGCTGCGCGGCTTCTGCAGGAGCTGGCGGTGAAGTGGCCTGCGCCGCAGCGAGCGCGAAAGCGGCCCTCTTCGCAGCTACCACTGGGTCGTTGTTGCGGCGCTCCTTCTTCCGGTCCTTCTTGTTGCCGCCATGGCGGCCCTGCGGGTGCGAGGAAGTTGACATTGGAACAGCTGTTGTCGGCGTTCCTGCCTTGCGCTCAGCGCCTGGGAGCTTTCGACGGCTGCATATAAGCTCCCAGTGCGCCCGCCGCACCCGCTCCCCTGCCCCTAATATCAATGTTGTTGGCTGGGCAGCTCGTCAAGTCGCCAAGCAGAGGGTAACACCGGTGTGTGCGAAATGAACGACCGTGGCACGCGGAGCGCGCCAGACGATTCACAGTTGCCTCCACATCACAACCAGATCATCGCACAGCAATCGCACGCAAGACATCGTTTGATTCACAGTTGCCTCCACATCACAACCAGATCATCGCACAGCAATCGCACGCACGACATCGTTCGATTCACAGGCCAACATCATCGCATCACAGCCTCTGCACGCACATCTTGGCAAGGAAGATGGTTTGAAGTCTCCTCCTCCTCCTCCTCCTCCTCCTCCATCCCTCTCCTCCCCGCTTCCTCTCCTCACCTCCTCCTCCCGCTCCTCCTCCTCCTCCGACTCCTCCTTCCTCGCCGCCTCCTATTACCTCCTCCTCCTCCTCCTCATCCTCCTCCACCTCCTCCTCCTCCTCATCCTCCTCCCCTCCGCCTCCTCCTCCTCCCTCCCTCCCCTCATCCTCCTTCCTCCTCCCGCTCCTCTCCTCTCCTCCTCCTCCTCACTCCTCCCTCCTCCTCCGCCTTCATCCTCCTCCTAGTTCCAAACTCTCACTCCTCCTCATCCTCCTCCTCCTCCCCTCCTCCTCCTCCTCCTCCTCATCCTCGCATTCCTCTCCTCCTCCTCCCCTCCTCCTCCTCCCCTCCGCCTCCTCCACCCCTCCTCCTCCTCCTCTTCCACAGCCTCATCCTCCTTCTCCTCCTCCTCCTCCTCCTCCTCCTCCTCCTCCTCCTCCTCTTCCTCCTCCTCCTCCTCTCCTCCTCCCCTTCTCCTCCTCCTCTCCTCCTCCTCCTCCTCTTCCACCTCCCCTAAGACCTCCTCCTCCTCCTCCTCCTCATCCTCCTCCTCCTCCTCTACCTCCTCCTCCTCCTCTCCCGGCCCCCCCATCTCCTCTCCTCCTCACCTCTCCCTCCTCCTCCTCCTCATCTTCATTCCTCCTTCCTCCTCCTTCTCCTCCTCGTCCTCGTCCTCTCCTCACCCCACATCCTCTCCTCCCTCCCTCCTCCTCCTGCTCCATCATCATCATCATCTCCTCAATCATCATGAATCAATCTTCATCCATCATCACCACATCAAACCACTCCTGGAGAATCGTCATCATCATCATCATCATCATCATCACCATCATCATCATCATCAGCATCATCATCATCATCATCATAGTCATCATCATCAGCATCATCATCATCAGCATCATCATCATCATCCTTACTCACTCCCACCCCTACTCCTACTCATCATTATATTCATAGTCATACTCCTACTCCTCCTCCTCCTCCTCCTCCTCCTCCTCTTCGTCCTCCTCATCCTCCTATTCCTCACCCTCATCCTCCTCATATGCTTCCTCCTCCTCCTCCTCCTCCACCTCCTCCTCCTCCTCATAGTCCTCCTCCTCATCCACCTCCTCCTCCTCATCCTCCCTCCTCCTCCCTCCCTCCTCCCTCCTCCCTCCTCCTCCCTCCTCCTCCCTCCTCCCTCCTCCCTCCTCCCTCCTCCCTCCTCCTCCCTCCTCCCCGGAGACAAGGGGTTACCCCTGCCCCCGATTCGGCCGAGGATGGGTTACCACCCCCAGCCAGGACGCAAGGGGTTACCCCTGCGCCCGATTCGGCCGCCGATGGGTTACCACCGGCGGCCCGGAGACAAGGGGTTACCCCTGCCCCCGATTCGGCCGAGGATGGGTTACCACCCCCAGCCTGGACGCAAGGGGTTACCCCTGCGCCCGATTCGGCCGCCGATGGGTTACCACCGGCGGCCCGGAGACAAGGGGTTACCCCTGCCCCCGATTCGGCCGAGGATGGGTTACCACCCCCAGCCCGGACGCAAGGGGCTAACCCTGCGCCCGATTCGGACGCCGATGGTTACCACCGGCGCCCGGAGACAAGGGTTACCCCTGCCCGCTTCGATTCGGCCAGCGGATGGTCAGGATGGTTACCACCCCCAGCCATGGACGCAAGGATTACCCAGCGCCCGATTCGGCCGCCGATGTTACACACCGACGGCCCGGAGACAAGGGGTACCCCTGCCCCTGACACCGATTCGGCCGAGGAATGGGCTAACCACACCGCCCCAGCCCGACCAAGGTTACCCCTGCGCCCGATTCGGCCGCCGATGGGTTACCGCCGGCGGCTCGGAAACAAGGGGGTACCCCTGTCCCCGATTCGGCAGAGGATGGGTTACCACCCCCGGCCCGGACACAAGCGGTTACCCCTGCGCCCGATTCGGCCGCCGATGGGTTACCGCCAGCGGCTCGGAAACAAGGGGTTACCCTTGCCCCCGATTCGGCCGAGGACGGGTACCACCCCCCGAGCCTGGAGACAAGGGGTTACCCCCCTGCGCCCGATTTCGGGCCGCCGATGGGTTACCACCGGCGGCCCGGAATCAAGGGGGTTACCCGGGTGGAGATTCGGCCGAGGATGGGTTACCACCCCCAGCCTGGACGCAAGGGGTTACCCCTGCGCCCGATTCGGCCGCCGATGGGTTACCACCGGCGGCCCGGAGACAAGGGGTTACCCCTGCCCCCGATTCGGCCGAGGATGGGTTACCACCCCCAGCCCGGACGCAAGGGGCTACCCCTGCGCCCGATTCGGCCGCCGATGGGTTACCACCGGCGGCCCGGAGACAAGGGGTTACCCCTGCCCCCGATTCGGCCGAGGATGGGTTACCACCCCCGTCCCGGACGCAAGGGTCCCCCCCTGCGCCCGATTCGGCTGCGATGGGTTACCACCGCCGCCCGGAGACAAGGGGTTACCCCTGCCCCCGATTCGGCCGAGGATGGGTTACCACCCCCAGCCCGGACGCAAGGGGCTACCCCTGCGCCCGATTCGGCCGCCGATGGGTTACCACCGGCGGCCCTGAGACAAGGGGTCACCGCTGCCCCCGATTCGGCCGAGGATGGGTTACCACCCCCAGCCCGGACGCAAGGGGTTACCCCTGCGCCCGATTCGGCCGCCGATGGGTTACCACCGGCGGCCCGGAGACATGGGGTTACCCTGCCCCCGATTCGGCCGAGGATGGGTTACCACCCCCGACCCGGACACAAGGGGTTACCCCTGCGCCCGGCCGCTGTCTCGTCGTCGTCGTCGACTGACCGACTGAAAACTATTTGTGCGGCCAGAGGCTCGACTGAGGTACCCCTGAGCCAACGATCCACGCCAGAGGCACGTGGGCCGTGCGGGAGCTCTGTTGGGAACTCTGACAGAGACACGTGGGCCATGCGGGAGCTCTGCTTTGTTTCGTACTCTCTCTCTCTCTCTCTCTCTTACTATTTGTAGTTATTTCTCTGCGTCCCTCTTTGTCTCAATCGTTTTCTCAAGGGCTCTCGGGAGTCCTTCGTCTTTTTCCTCCTCCCCTTTTGCGCCCTTCCTCCTCCAACTCCTCGTGCCCATCATCACCCCTTCTCTTCCTCATGGTCCTCCTCCTCGTCGTGGTACTCCTGCGGCTCCTACCCGTCTGCCCCACCTCCCATCCTCCCTCCTCCTGTTCCGCACTCTTCTCGCATGCGATGTCCCCCCCCCCAGAGGAGGACGAAGAGGAAGAGGAGCTGGACACCAAAACAACTTCGACGAAACAACGAAATCCTCACAAGAAACACAACGACGAAGACCAGCGGGCAATTCTTGGCCACCATATGCGAGACCGGGGACCGGGGACCGGGGACCGGGGACCGGGGACCGGGGACCGGGGACCGGGGACCGGGGACCGGGGACCGGGGACCGGGGACCGGGGACCGGGGACCGGGGACCGGGGACCGGGGACCGGGGACCGGACCGGGGACCGGACCGAGAAATTCCGCCATTGTGGGCCCCCGGGATCTGGGGCTTTGGGGCCCCCTGGAGGCCTTTGGCAGGGGTCCCCAAAACCCTGCCGCGCCTCCCAGGGCGCCGTGCCAGTCCTTGCCCAGCGGACTTAAAGCGAGCAGAGAGGTAGTCGAAGAGGCGCAGGAGAACCCCAAGACAGCGCAAGACCGCCTCAATTCGGTCCAAGGGCCCCCAAGACGGCCCAAGAGGCCACCAAGACGCCTGAAGAGGCCTTCACGAGGGCCCCCAAGAGGCAACAATCTTCCCAGTCCCTTTGGGAAGCGCACGTTCTCAGCATATTCGGTTGTTTGTGTCGTAGAAGCGTTCACGAAAGCCCAAAGGGCTTCCGAGATCGCCCCAAGCCCGCCCAAGCGGCCCCCACAAGGGCTGGGCTTCAGGACAGCCCACGAGGGCCCCACGACTGCCCCAAGGCAGCCCCAAGGAGGTTCTCGAGGCCTGGAGAGGCTCCCAGGAGAGACCCGCGACGGCCATGGGAGCTCCCCCAGGAGGGCCCCGAGAGGGCCCCGAGAGGGCAGGGCCCGCGGAGGGCCCCGAGTCCCCAAGAAGGCCCCAGCCCTGTGCTGGAGGCCGGTCGGGTGGCAGGGGCTGGGCGCCCAGCGCTCCTGCCCACCGCGGGCGGTCGAGGTGCAGCGCGGCCAGCGGCTGGCACGATCTGGCGATCGAGAGGCCGCCGATCGCTCAAGGTTGAGAGGTCCACCCGGTGCCAGGCAACGCCCGGGTCGTCGCGGCGGGAACCCGCCGTACGTCTGGTGTCTTCCCCCCTTCCCCCCCCCCATCCCGTGTCACGCGTTCCCGGCGTCGCGCGGCCAGAGGCGGCCTCGGGGGCATCAGGCTTGCTTAGCTCTGCGGTGACGAGGAGGACAACAAGAATAATTCTGCCAGCCTGAAGCTTGTCTGTGTCCCTCTGCTTACCCCCACCTCACATCGGTGCCGATCTCCAGGATTCCCTCAGGTTCTGAGGGCACCTCCCCTCGGTTGTCGTCACCTCGCGCTTGTCGATCTCGGGGACGGGT